GGGGGGGGGGGGGGGTTGGGGGGGCTGAAGACATGTGCCCTTCAGTGCCTGTTCTCTCACTCTGAGCCCACAAGACCATCCAGCCTTTCCAACTGGGAAACAAATTCAGGCCAATACAACTTGCTATGGACTACCTGGCTAACCTGAGACTCTTTGTGCTGCTACTAGACTGTCAGGGATGTTGCTGAGCGAAGCTGATGCTCCTCAATGAACAGTCCTGCCTCTTTTCCTGTCCACCCTCTACGCAACGCACTTCCAGTCTAACACCAGCTCATGCTACATCGAAGTTCTCCATGCACTCCACCACCGCAGGGTGCATGGAAAATAGAGATGAGTCCCAGAATAGGATGCTAGTGGAGGACTTTGTGGTGCAGAGAGAACCACCTACAACTCAAAGGAGGAGGTGTTGGATTTCCCCTTTTTACCAGCCAATGTGTTTCTCAATACCAAGATCACAAAGATTGTACTTATGGTCTTTGCAGGACCGGTCTTAGTAACTTGGCTCCCAAGAATGAAATTGGGGCACAATGAATCATGGGGTTGTTTTCGTATGGCGAGGATGCAACCGATATTTGGGGCAGGGCAAGAATGACATCCGAGGATTTTACTGTCCTCTGCACTTCTGTTTTTAGTATTGGAACTGGTCTTCGGCAATGGAAGGTGAAACTTCATCTGTTCTTCCATCCCCAACTCCATCGATCCACTGAGGATGGCCATCTCTCATGTCCTACACACTCCCCTCACTCATGTGGATGGTCCACACATGCACACACTCTGGTCAGCAAGGTGAGGCAGAGGCTCTACCATCTGAGGCAGCTGAGGAGGTTTAAGGTCTCTCCTGCTGTCCTTAAGGCCTTCTACTCGGCTGCGATAGAGGGCATCCTGACCATGAGCATCATATCGTGGTTTGGGACCAGAAAGCCCTGCAGAGGGTGATTAGAGCAACTGTGCGCTGCACCAGGTCTGCCTTGCCCTCCCTACAAGAAATCTACAACAGCCTCTGCAGGACCAGAGCAATAAAAATCTTCAGAGACCCCTCCCCCTCCAATAACTCTCTGATTTGCCTGCTAATTTCAGGCAAACGCTTCCGCAGCCTTATGACCAGAACGGAAAGGTTAAGGAGGAGCTTTTCCCCCCAGGTCATAATGCTCCTAAATCAGGACAATACTCAATGCCTCTAGGTGCTGCTTCACACTGTCCAAATCGTTGGCACACACCTCAGGCCTCATGCACGTTGCACTTAAATTGCACAGCAAAATACCTCTTACCTATCACTTATGTATATATTATGTACAGTTGAACATTTCATATATTTTTTATCTTATTATTTTTCTCTATATTTTGTTACTCTCTTATCATGCACAGCTGCTCGAAGTGACCATGGTTACATTCCGCTACATGCTGTATGTGTACAACTGTGTACGTGACAAATAAGCCTCTTGAATCTTGACTATACAAGAAAAGCCAGAGCAGACTCTACTTTCCCAGGAGGCTCAGCTCTGTTTATTTGCACAGCAAATTGTTGGAGATGCATTACTGCTTCATAGTAGCCAATGTACTTCTGTACTCTGTGGTCAGGTAGTGAAAAAAGATCAGTGCAGTTAACTGATCCGGAAGGCCAGCTGTCTCACGGGACTGACCCTGGACCATCTGGAAGCAGCTGCAAAGAAGAGCATGGTGGAAAAACTGAGATAATCATGGCAATCCTGCCCATTCCCTGCATAGGGCACTCTCTCTTGGATCTCCATTAGCCAAATGCTCATCCAGAGTGGTGTGTTAAGCAGCAGTGTGAGGGAGCTGTTCTGCCTGTTGCCTCCAGGCACAATGACTCCTTAACAACAACGTAACACTTAACAACATTTCATGGTCAATGAAAAGATACAATATGCTGCTATACAATGGTACTTAGTACAGCTGTACACATCTCATGCACACCAACCTTAATTTGTTTAATGAGATCAATAAGGATCGACCGATTGGTCGATCTGTCTCCTCTTACAGTAACTGTGACATTAGTGACACTAAAGAATGGCAGGATATTTATAGCCCATTTCTAGCAATTACTTGCACTGATATGAGTGAATACACAGTACCAGTCAAAAGTTTGGACACGTACCCATAGAAAGGTTTATTTGTACTACTGAATAAAGACATCAAAAGTATAAAATAACATGAATTTTGTACTGACCAAAACAGAATCAAATTTTTAAAAAAATGTTGGGACGTAGTACTGTGGGCTGGGACTCAGAAGGTTGCCGGTTTAAATCCCCGGGTCAGCAAAGTGATCCCGACTTTGGTCCCATGACCAAGGTCCTTAACCTCAATTGCCCCAGGGACTGGCTGACCCTATTGCCTCATCTACACCATTTTCATAAGGTGGCCTGGGATGCTTTCCCAGCTGTCCTGAAGGAGGTCCCTCATATATGCTGAACTCTCATTGGCTGCTTTTCCTCCACTCTCTGGTCAAACTACTCCACAGCCATTTCTACTGTTTTTACGTCAGACGGCCAGGTCATACAGTATGATGCGACACTATCACTCTCCTTTTTAGGCGGCTTGGCCAAGTTTTGACTGGCACTGTATATTTTATTTGCCTTTGTTATGGTGAAGAAGGGAATCAAGAGCAGAAATGCGACTGCACACAGGTTTAAATAAGGGACAAATATATCAGGGTTAGAACACAGAAAAGCAGGACTAAGGGGCTATAACTCAAATACAAACAGATGACAAAGGCAAGACTGAACTCGGCAGCATTACACAACACACAGGGCAAGTGGCTGGAAAAAAGACAACCAAACTAAAACAGGATTGGAGAGGACAAAGCACACAACAGCACTAAATGACAGGCAATTCACAATAAGAAAGACACAAGCACAGAATACTCAGGACTGAGCAGAAAGTGCAGGAACTTCAGGAGCTTAAATAGGTTGTAATTAGCCTCTGATCGCTGACAGCTGTGAGAGGTAAGAATGCAGGTCCGAAGCCATGGCAACGGGGAAGGTGGGCGGAGTCAGGGCAGTGGGGTTCACCCTGGCTAGGAACCATGGCAACTGGGAAGGTGGGCGGAGTCAGGGCAGTGGCGTTCACGCTGGTCAGGAGCCATGGCAACAGGGAAGGTGGGCGGAGCCATCTGTGACACCTTTCATCTATTTGTTTATGTTCTTTGCAAAGGTATTTCTGAATATCATGTTTGGGGTGACATGTCAATATGATAAAGATCACCAACTGGGATAAGGGATATTTTCAGTTTTTTTAATATATAATATTTTCTAGTTAATCTGTCGCTTTCCTGTGGCAATGAACTTTGCTGGCTTGTCATTACTTTATTTTTATTTTTAATGTTCACATCATACATAGGGATTGCAAACACTTAACTTCAGAATTTACCATTTCATTGTTATGAATGTAAGTGAGCACTGTTGTAGTAGATAATCTCAGTAAATAATGAGATCTACTTATTTACAGTTTTTCTTGATCACTTTCATGCAATTCTCACATCAGGAACGTCATCTTCACCACTCTTAATGCAGTTCTCAAAACAGTTAAGGCATGTCTCATAAAGATTTACCTGCACAAAAGACACTAAAACAATCAAAACCTTTTTCACATGTGTTAAAACATGCAAAGTCCGTGAACCACTCGAACACAGTGACCAATAAATAAAAACCACTGTTCACCACTGTTTTAAGGCTTAAACACCACATATTTTTATACTTTTAACAAAATCTACCTGACTGAAGAGTACTTCAGAAAATATAGGCCTAACGTAGAGTAAAAATGTTCAGACAAAATTAAATGTGAAGGATTTATTCAAATCTTTACACAATATAGTAGCTGAAATTGAGAAAAGCAAAATGACACTATATGCATCAGAAAATGGACAAAGAAAATACATACTGTGTAGTACAGTAAAGTCATATGTATATATGCATATAGAAATCTAAAATTACTATAAAGTGCAAAATATGAGGTATCCTGTCTCTCATCTCTATTAGGCCACATCATTGTGTTTACATCACACCTGATGTCTTCCCTTCTGAGACAGAGAGGGTGAAATCCTTTTGCCTGCCACATCCAGCTTCGACAAGCTTCAGCTGTGGCGTCCTCACAGCCAGCATCCATTGCATCCAGTAGGGACGTCCTTGTTGGGAATGAGGGCACTGTAGAGCCCATCCAAGAACTGAAGAAGCTGGTCTGTGTTGCATCTTTAATAGTAAGGTATCTAGAATTAATAGCAATGTGTACAAATACAATGAGAAATGCTAAGTTGGGTAGGGAATTGCGCTCCTGCTTTGAGAACTGCATTAAGAGTAAGGTGAATGACATTCCTGATGTGAGAATTAGATCAAAATGATCCAAAAAATCTGTAAATTAAATGGGAGACTTCCTGTTTACCATTTTACCGTCTATAGCTCCCACAATTGATTGCATTCAGTCAAAGAATGACTGGTTTGAAATAAGCAGAGAGACCTGTTAAGCCTGTTTAGACTAAGTAGAAGATTTTGGTAATATATCGGATGGGTTTGTTTCTCTTCTGAAAAAGGAAGCAGTGTTACTGAATGGTGCAGCTGCTGAGTTTGAGGAGACTTCTTGACAAAACTTTGGCAACTTTGAAGCTCTTTTTGTGCAGTATCCTTCTATTCCTCCAGTATCTTTAGGCTTCCTCCACCTGAGCTCAATGCGTGCTGTTGCCTAGTGTTTACCTCAGGGACAACATTTTTGATTGACTTAGATGCTTTTACGCGTATGGTGATGGACTGAACCCTCCTGTGTAGCTCTGTGAATTAATTATAATGAACATTGATAATGGACGCCCTATTCATCATTGCACTATTCTCCAGGCATTCATCACTGTGTAATTTTTCCACTGGCTTAGCAGTATCACATTAATGCTTGCAAGTAATGAAGATCCACTTAAAGTGAAAAGCAAATGGTTTTCATACACTGATTACTTCACATTTTCACATTGCATTAACATTATAACATTCTTAAATATTTTTAGCAATGATTGCTTCCCCTGTAATCATTTCTTCATAGAGGAAGCACATATATTACATTGAAAAGCTGATATTAGTACAGATGTTATCTGGGTGCTCCAGTCTCTCCATGCAGTCTCAAGATATGCATTTAGGTGAATAGTCG